CAAATTAATATCTGATACACACCACTTACGATAGCATAATACACAAATTAATATCTGACGTACACCACTAACGATAGTACAATACACAAATTAATATCTGATATTCACCATTATCGATAGTACAATACACCAATTAATATCTGATATACACCACTAACGATATGACAATACACAGACTTAAAATCTGATATTCACCACTATCAATAGTACAATACACAAATTTATATCTGATGTACACCACTAACGATAGGACAATACACAGACTAATATCCGATATTCACCATTATTGATAGTACAATACACCAATTAATATCTGATGTACACCAACAACGATAGGACAATTCAGAGACTAATATCTGATATACACTATTAACGATAGTACAACACACAAATTAATATCTGATAAACACCACTTACAATAGTACAATACACAAATTTATATCTGATGTACATCACTAACGAAAGGACAATACACAGACTAATATATGATATTCACCATTATCGATAGTACAATACACTAATTAATATCTGATATACACCACTAACGATAGTACATTATACAAAATAATATCTGATATTCACCATTATCGATAGTACAATACACCAATTAATATCTGATATTCACCACTAACGATGGTACAATACACAAATTAATATCTGATGTACACTACTAACGATAGCACAATACACAAAATAATGCCTGATATACATAGCTAAAGAGAGTATATACACAAAAATTGATATATACAATTAAAATTTATTCTCGTACAAAACCACAATTAACTTTGAAGGAAAACAACTTTGAGTAAAAAGTTAATTTTCTCTTCAAGAACATAGAATATTGAATACAAGAAATGTGTTTTCATGGACACAAACAAATAAAGATAAAATGAAATCTAAACACCTATTGTAACAGGATATTTCCTAGATATGCTTGTGAATTTTAATCATGAAATTATACCTTTGCTTTATTTCGTTGTATAGTTACACAATAGTTTGTTGTTCCTTCAGGACATATTTTAAATTGCAAAAATGTTACTTAAGTTATGATTATAGAAATTACTAAATGAAAAAGAGTCACCTTGTGGTTTTAACGATGTCGAACCAGTAAAAACTTATCTAACCGTGTGCTCTACGTGCCTAATTCTGCACATAGATGTTGGTTTCTAGCCTCTGACGTCTTAAATTCATATCTTACTAGACCACCGTGACCCGTTAGGTCAACCACTA